CAGCAGCTCCTCCGGAGAAAGCCTGGACTTTCTATACCTGTAGAAGTGACATCATTCCTCTAGGAGCGGCTGATGGTTTCAAACTGCCAACCTTGTGGTTAGCAGCCCAACTAGTAACCAACTAAGCCTCCGGGGATCCTGATATATGAGCTCCACCTGCTGTCGTTAAGTCGATTCCAACTCATCATGACCCAGTGGGACAGAATAGAACTGCCCCTGTGGGTTTCCCAAACTATAACTCTTTACAGGAGTTGACAGCCACACCTTTCTACCAAGGAGCGACTGGTGGGTTCAAACCACAGACCTTGTGGTTAGCAACTTGATGCGTAGCCCACTATGCCACCGGGGCCCCTAGTAAATGATGTAGACAGTGAACATTTTCTCCTTTCTTATTAAAAAGGGGATGCCACGTGTTGGTTAAAGATTCTGGAAGGCTAGCATGATGAGGAGCTGTGGAAATGTGCACGTGTCCTCCCCAGCTGAGGGGATGACCAGAGCGTGGTCTCTACCTGCAGTAGGCTAGTCCTCAGCCAGAGGGGAAATGAAGCTCTGGCACAAGCTACTGCACGGATCAACCCTAAAAACATTGGGCTTGTGGTGGTGCTTTTGAGGTGCTGAGTTGGTTCTGACCCACAGTGACCCGTAGTCAACAGAACGAAATGCCACCTGGTCCTGTGCCCTCCGCCCAGTTGTTACGCTCAAGCGCATGCGGCGGCCACTGGGTCAAGTCCATCCATCTGGTCAAGGGCCTTCCTCTCTCCACTGCCCTTCCACTTCACAAGCATGGTGTTCTTCTCCAGGGGCTTTGCTCTCCGACAGCACGCCCACAGGATCTAAGATAGTTTATAACCTATCAAGGGGTCACGAGTATGGGAGGGCAGGGGAGGGAGGGAAAAAAGAGGAGCTGATACCGAGGGCTCAAGTAGAAAAAAAATGTTTTGAAAATGATGATGGCAACATAGGTACAAAGGTGCTTGATACAATGGATGGAAGGATTGTTCTAAGAACTATAAGAGCCACTAATAAAATTGTTTATTTAAAAAAAAAGATTTTGTAGGTGAGATTTAAAAACAGCAAATGAAAAGGACTGCATCCGTTTCTGTCAAATCAATTTTGACTCCTAGTGACCTTTACGATACAGCGAGGAACCACCCCATAGAGTTTTCTGGCTGTTGTCTTATGGAAACTGATCACCAGGCCTCTCTTCTGCGGTTGCCACTGGCCGGGCTCCAAACACCAGGCTTTAGGTTTGGAGCTGAGCGCAGTTGGAGCGTTGGGCTATCCAGGGGCCAAGTGTGATGGAGCCTAAGGGGAAAATGCTGTCTGATTCCACGTACATGACATGCCTACATTAGGCAAAGGACCTCTCGTGTTGGGAAAGCGTGGAACTGCCAACCACAAGTTCCATGGTTCAGACCCACCAGCTGCTCCTTGGGAGAAAGATGATGCTGTTAAGAGTTACATCCTCAAAACCCAATGGCAGTGGGTTTGGCTTGGCTTGGCTTTATATCAGGCAAATGCAAATATCGAAGTGTCTTAGGAGTTACCAGGGACTAGCGGGGAGGGGAATGGGTAGGTGACAGGGTCTTGCGATTCTCTTTGGGGTGATGTAAAACATTCAGAAATGGAGAATGGTGGTAGCCGCACACTAGGATGGATCAGATTTATGGCCACGGATTGTAGATTCAAAAATGGTAAAGTGGCATCCTTTTAAGATACATTTTATAGCAGGTTTGTTTTGAAGCGATCGGAGAAAGGAAGAGTAAAGGGGCTGAGACAGATTGTGCCGCGCAGATGCTGTTCTCTGGCCTGCCTCACCAGGACCCTCCCGGTTGACTGCCTCTCTGGGTCTGACTGATGTGGTGGAGGCCTCTCAGGTAGATGTGCAGGCGGCTGCTCCGCTTCCTACCTGAGGGGCCAAAGGCAGTGCCTGGCACAGTCAGACAAACTGAGACGACTCCGAACTGCTTGCTCCACAGGGGATGGGGGGGGAGTACCCTGTTACCCTGAGTGCGGGCTCTGGAGTCCAAGGGGGGCTGAGCAGCAGAGAGAAGGGAGCAGACCCAGCTGGCCGACTTCCCCCTTGGCAGGGTGCAGATGTTCCCCCAGCACAAAGGCTGTCCTTGTTACATGTGCTGCCCTCGGTCTGAGAAACAATACATTAAGAACAGCCCAGTTGGCAGGTAACAATCTCAGTCCACTTGCCAAGACACGTTGCCATCTTGAGTGGTTGCCTGCAGTTCTTGAAAGAGGAAAGGTTTTTCTGATGCCAAAATTTGACGGCAAACGGTGTCCTGGGACTTTGCCCTCTTAATCCCAGCAAGACAGAGGCGTTCTTTGAGATGAAGCAGCACATTTGGGGTTTTGTGCAGGAGGAGGTAAAAGATGTATTGAAGACTCAGACAGAAAGGGGGATTATCAGGCTTGGAAACATCACTTCAGTCCTATCTAAGGAGACGGGGAACTGGGCCTTAAAAGCTACAGAAACCGTGCTAGTTCAGACTAGCTTCCTCTCTGGTTCATCTGTTTAATTGCTTTCTGTTCCCAGAGGTTTGGGAAGGAAAACAAAGACCTATAGGCCAGGCTTCCAGGGGGACCTTTTAAGTACCATTTTGTTGTGGCCATAGCCCCCACGAAGTCAGCCTCTAACTCAGGGCAGCCCCCCCAAACTCAGAAACGATGGATTGTGTCACATGGCATTCCATCAGGTTTTCTTGGTCTGACTTTTAGAAGTAGATCACCAGGCCTTTCTTCCTCGCCCATCACAGTCTGGAAGCTCTGTGGCATCGTTGCAAGGTGCAGATGTGTGGTGTCTGTGAATGAGGTGCCTTAGCTCAGGGTCAAACTTGGGTCTCCCGCATGGAAATCAAACATTCTGAATTTTCTGTTAGAGGGGCCCTGGTAGCATAGTAGTTATACATCGGGCTGCTAACCGAAAAGTCATCAGTTTGAAACCACTGGTCACTGCTTGGAGAAAGATGAGGTTTTTTCTACTCCTGTAAAGAGTTATGGTCTTGCAAACCCACAGACAGGGGTAGTTCTACCCTGTCCTATAGGGTCTCTGTGAGTTGGCATGGACTCAGTAGCAGTGAGTTTATTTTGGTTTGGTTTTTAACTACCATTACATTAAACAAAATCTGCCCACAAAAGCCCTCTGCCTCATTTTTTAGGGAGCCAAGCGTCCAAAACTTCTTTTATGACTATATGCTCTTTCTTCACTTCCTCCTGTCTACTTACCGTCAACCCCACACTTGAACCTCGGCCATTTAGTGACATACCATCAGTCACCGAGGGGCTATGCCTCCATGCCTGTTTACAGTGTGACTGTTCTCCAGAAGCTTTGTAAGCCACTACTTACAGACTGTCCCCAGACTGAGGTACAGTTAGGCCACCAGCTCAACCCTGGATGCAGATTTGGCCCTAGTGAGGAGGAATTTGTTACATGTTTCTAGACTTTGAGACGTCAGGAGGGAATGCTATTGTCTTATTTAATGACATTTGGGAGGAAATGTTACAATGGTGATGTGCATGAGAGCATTTTGATGTCCTTGAAAATCAGTGTTTGCCTGTGAACCCTAGTCCTTCTTGATCTAAACTCTAACCACCTATCCCAGGTACTCTGGCTTTTGCTGCTCTCCCAAATGGTTCCCTAGGGCAGGGTCCTAGCCAATGATTTGCCTGTCCTTTTCACTTGCAGTGTCCTTTGCCTGGAATGCCTCTTTTTTTTTTAACCCTTCTGATTCCTATAGCACTCTTGACCGGTTCAACCATTAACACAAATCAGTCTGCTATACCACTTCTACTTCGTGGACCACAAACCTCTCCTGCGTGCAACTTCAGGTACTTCCCTCCTCAGATGGCCTTCTAAGGCAGCGGTTCTCATCCTGTGCGTCGCGACCCCTTTGGGGATCGAACGACCCCTTCACAGGGGTAGCAAAATGACAGGGATGAAGTAGCAACGAAAATAATTTGATGGTTGGGGGGTCACCACCACATGAGGCACTGTATGAAACGGTCAGTCAGGGCATTAGGAAGGTTGAGAACCACTGTTCTAAGGCTTTAAGAACCCCAGCTTCAGTACCTTCTTAAAAATAAAAATGTTGTTTTCATGCCCCTTTCTGCTTTTCACACACTGCCATGATACCTTATGGGAATCCCTGTTCATTAGCATATATCACCATATTTATCTCGCAGGTTTTATTGCCAGGTTGCTCCCTTTCCCAGACTGACAGCTCCTTTAAGATAGGAACTGCTTGATACCAAGGGCTCAAGTAGAAAGCAGGTGTTTTGAGAATGATGATGGCAGCAATGTATGAATGCGCTGGACACAATGATGTATGTGCGAATTGTGAAAAGAGTTGTATGAGTCCCTAATAAAATGCTCAAAAGAAAAAGATAGGGATTGCCTCCAGAACTTATTACAATGGCAGGGAAACTTTTAAAATAGGATAAATCTGTGGTTTATTGGACGGATAAACATTTGGAGAGAAAGATGGAAGGCAGGCAGAATGGTTGGGCGTACGGCTCTGAGACCAAGAGGTCAGAAGAAGAGATAGAGGAATAATTCGAGGGATGAGTTGATGGACCTGCTGGGACACAGGTTGGTTTATTGATGCATGAGGGGGTACCCAATAAACACCGGGAAAAAGCTCTGCTAGGTGGAGCTTTTGTAGTGCCCATTTTCCCCACTAGACTAGCATCCAGCAACTCACTCTGAGTTGGTGCACCTAGTGGCATCTCCTGGGAAGGTTCTCTCTGGTCACAGTGAATTTTTTTCATCAAAGCACTTTCAGTTTTTTGTGATGACCGACTTAAGAGAACAGCTTGCAGTGTAGAATTTTGTTTCCTGCTGGGGGGGAAATGCCACAGAATCTGTTGTGATGTTGAACACAGCTTACAAGGGCAGCATTATTGGAAAAACTCAGGTGTATGAGTGGTTTTCTCAAAAAAGGTGAAATGCCGATTGATGATGAACCTAGTTTGGTACCCTTTTTACGAAGATGGTGCCGGAGGCAAAGAAGGAAGCTCCTTCCCCTCCCAAAACGGAAGCCAAAGCAAAGGCTTTAAAAGCCGAGAAGGCCTTGCTGAAAGGCGTCCACAGCCACACACACACAAAAGAAGATCCACACATCACCCAAGACCCAAGGCCCAAGACCCTGAGACTAAGAAGGCAGCCCAAATACCCTCAGGAGAGGGCCCCCAGGAGAAATAAGCTGGACCATTATGCCATCCTCAAGTTCCCCTGGACCACGGAGTCTGCCATGAAGAAGATTGAAGAGAACAACACACTTGTGTTCACCGTGGATGTCAACGCCAACAAACAGCAGATCAAGCAGGCTGTGAAGAAGCTCAATGACACTGACGTAGCCAAGGTCAACACCTTGATCAGGCCTGACGGAGAAGAAGGCGTGTGTTCGACGGGCTCCTGACTATGACTCTTGAGATGCTGCCAACAAAATTGGAATCATCTAAACTGAGCCCAGCTGGCTAATGCTAAATATAAACTATTTCAATGTCAAAACAAAACAAACTCATTTGGGACATCTGTCAACTTGCCTAACAGATGAAAATGCCAGCTCATAGTGCATTTGGAGTTCCACCAGGTCGGACTGTTATTCAAGCTTCTTTCTGTGTCCATGAATGAAGTGTGATGTGAGAGGACAGCGATGTGACGGCACAGAAGAGGTGGGGAAAAAGGAAACGAGGGAGGTGCTGTCAGCCATCTAACAGATGAGTTTGAAACATGTTTCCAAGATGGAATCACAGATTTGACAAATGTATTAAGTGTCCTGGAGAGTATTTTGAAGTTGATAAGGTTGTTTTTATTAAAAAGAAAATTACATACATAGCTTTGAAAAAAAATTCTGGTTTTGGGGGGGGTACCCCTTGTATATGCTGAGCTATATAGAAACATCTGTGGAATTCTAAATGGGATGCATACACATTTTCAAGGATGTGGGATTGGTGGCATGTGCCCTTGGCTCTTTTACTTACACAACTCACTGTGAAAGAAATGTTGGCTAACAGAAAAGACTAGGAGCTTGGATTAAGATCAGATGGGTTCTAATTCTGACTCTCTGTCTTCTGGTTGTGCGGCCTTGAGTCTTTTTGTTTTTCTCCATCTGAAATGTAGGCATAAGACCTGACTTCCAGGAGCTGTAGGGAGGATTCATGCCAATATATCTAAATGCCTCGTCTAGTGATGAACCCAGGATTGCCCAAAGTTGGATTAAAGTAAACTGTGGCTTAGCAGGTACTCATTGAGCTGCTAACTATAAGGTCAGTGGTTAGAAACTGCCAGCCACTCCTCAGGAGAAAGCGGAGGCTTTCAACTCCCGTAAAGAGCAACTGTCTCAGAACCCCAGGGGCAGTTCTACCCTGTCCTGTAGGGTCACAATGAGTAGGAATTAACTCTATGTCCATTAGTTTGCTTTTGGGTTTGGTGATGAAGAAAAAAGGAACATAGACAAGGGGGGGTGGGAGTTCAGAGGTGATGCTGAGCAGGTTGTTTGGTGGTAAAATAGCAGCCAAGAGAAAGGAAAGGAGGAAAGACCCCATTGCAGGGAAACTGCAGTTCCAAGGTTACATTAGGAGCGATTGCTATTGAGATCACTGCAAGTGAACTTCGTAACCTGGAAGTGCTATATGTAAACTCAAAACCTTCCCATAAAGAATAAGCAAAATTCTTGATGATGATGATGATAATAATAATAATGATAACTGAAGTTGTCAAGAGTTTTAGTTTTCTTCTACCGGAAGCAATCATCCGCACCCCTGGACCACAGCAGTCAAGAAATCAAATGATGTATGTGCATTGGACAAGCCTGCTGCCAAAGGCTGCTTTCATATTCTGAACAAAATGAAACTTTCACTTTGAGGACTAAGGTGCTCCTGACCCAAGTCAAGTTCTTTTTCATCCCCTCATTTGCATGTGAAAGTCGCACAATGAAAAAGAAGAAGAATTGATACATTTCAATAGTGGTATCAGTAAAGACCAGGACTGTGGGGGGAGGGGGTGTAAGTGGACCTTTGGAAGAAATACAACTGGGATGTTCATTAGAAATGAGAAAACATGACTTGCTCACTCGGAACATGTCATCAGGCTAGACCTATCACTGGAAAAGAAAGTCATGTGTGATAAAGTAGCTCAGTCTCACTGCCTTCAAGTTGATTCTGACGCCTAGCAACCCTATAGGTATAGGACATAGTCGAACTGGCCCTGGGAGCTTCCCAGACTCTCAGTCTTTATAACGGTTGCTAGAAGCCCACTGAGTAGCCCATTTCCCCACCTTTGGTAAAGTAGAAAATGGTCAGGAAAAATGAGAGAAATCCCCAATGAGATGCGTTGACACACTAGCCACGCCAAGGACTCAAACATATCAAAGATCATGGGATGATACCGGAAGTCCTTCCTTCAGTTATACATGGGGTAGCCATGAGCAGGAGCTGACATGACAACAACGAACCGTAGTGACAACAAACTTATATAGCTCTTACCACATGCTGGACACTGTCCTAAGCTCTTTGTACATATCAACCCATTTAATATTCACAGCTACCCCCCATGAAGTCCGTGTGTATAATCTTCATATCACTGCCAAGGATAGAGGGCACACAAGAAGTCACACACCAGTATAAGGGGGGCTTCCAAACATGTGTGGGGAAAACAGAATTAAAAGAGAATGACTTCTTTCCACCAACTTTTTGAAGCCCCCTTGCATAGTTGGGAGCCAATGGTTGAACCTAAGCAGGCTGGCCACAGAGTCTGCACTCCTAATCAAATGACAAACACACGTGATCTCCCAGTATCTGATGTGATTCCTGGCACTGAGCATACCAGGCCAATCCAGCTGGTAAAACTAACAGCACCGTGCAACCTAGTTTGATGGACAGCGATGAATATGCTTTCCCAGATACAACATAGCTTGGGAGACATGTGGTCCATCATGCGTAGATCAGTCAGCTGATGGTCCTGAGAGCTTTGGGGACAAATTCAACTCCAGGTCACTGGGGACAGACACAGGGCAGGGGTCAGAGGATCTTGGCCCTCCACATCGCATTGCAGGGAGAAAAGGGACATCATCTTTATTCCAGACAGCATCTGAACAACTCTTAAAAGTTCCTTCTGAGGGCTCATGGACATCATGATGCCAACGCTGCCGTATTTGACAAAAATCAAAATAAACTCTTTCTTTTCTTAGGACTCACCTGGTTTTGCCATTTTTAAAAAGGCAATGAGGTGCACAGTCTTTGAACATCCTGTCTGTCTTCACTGGATTGGGTTTGACAAGTCCCCCTGGACAATAATTCCACTGCACTTCTGTCTAGCTCCAAGCTCTCATCTCCTTCCGCAAGAGCTTCGAGCAATTGGTTTCCATGTCCTCATATCAAAGAGCTCACACATTCACCACATTGAACAAGTTCTGACCCAAGTAAGCTTCTGGCTGGTAGGAATCATGCAAGTACTCCCCTTTGCTATGTGTTTGAATCATTAGAAGCACTCTAACAATAAATGAAATCCCTACCCAAGTGCCTCCCAGTGGGCTAATTCCCCCAGGTAGTTTATCCAGCCCATTATAAACCACGCATGCGCCCCCCTGATTGTTTGGAACATGTGAGTCACCACCTCACTTCCACTCATGGTCGCCTCGGGTGCTACAGGGCAGAACTGCTCCGTTGAGGATTCCAGACTGATCTTTGCACAGCAGCATCCTGGAAGTGAAAATCCTTACACATGGACTAATAAGCAGCATGACAGAAACAGAAGACGGGAAAGTTATCACAGAGCTCATTGTTTACGGGCCTGCAATCAACGACCAGGAAAAGAATCGTCAAGAAATCAAACGGCGAGTGATATTCAGCAAATCTGGGACAAAAGACCTCTTTCTTTTCTTTTTGATTTTTCATTGTGGATTGAGTGAAGGTTTTCGAAGCAGATTAAGCTTTACACTCAACAACCCATGCCCACTGTATTTCCTCTCATTCACTGCAGCTCCCTCAACTGCATAGCCCACTTCTTTACCTGCGAGATGTCACGGTGAGAACGAAGGCATGCCTAACCCGAGCCATGCTGCTTTCCAGTCACCTCATCTACATGTGACCAAACAAAGCTGTCTTGGAAGAAGGCTACAGCTAGAATGTTCCTGAGAGGCAAGGATGGCAAGACGCGGACTCATAGCCTTGGGACACGTTCTCAGGAGAGACCAGTCCCTGGACAAGGATGTCCTGCGAGGTAAAGTAGAAGGTCCAAGAGAAAGAGAAAGCCCCTGGATGAGATGGATTTACACTGTGGCTGTAATAACAGGCTCAACCCTAAGAACAACCGTAGGATGGTGCAGGACCGGGCAGTTGTACAAGGGGTCACTCTGGTTCCGAGGCAATGAACTGACCCTTAACAAAAACGAAACTCAAATCTCGATGAGAACCAGGTGCTTTCCTCTGCAATGCAGGGAGGCGGGATCAAACAGCTGGCCTTTCAGCGATCGGCCAAGTGCAAACCCCATGTGACACCCAGGGCCTTTAGGGATGAATAGGTAGGGAAGACTGTTTAAAAGTTGCCAAAACATGTTTGCTTGTCCCCAATACTTCCCCTCAGTAACTCATCTGAAGTTACCAAATTCCAGCTTGGGAGAAAAAGGGAAACCACATTGGACACCTGGAATCAGAGAACTCAAGAGCAGAATGCGTCCCTGTGGGTTTTGCGGAGGAGACCCCTCTGACCTGGGGCCGGAGAGAGGCAGTGAGTGGGGGTGTGGGGGCAGAAGGCCAATCATAAATGGTTTTCCCAGATCTTTGTCCTCAGTTTTCCTCCAACAGCCTGGCTCAAGAACATCTCAGCTCAAACCAGCTAGGTTTCCTTTGGAGCATTTTTACATCTGTTCAGGTGTCCTGGAAATACATATTAAATTCAATCCTAATTTAATTTAAATTCTGAATAAAAGCCTGTGTATCATCTGATGAACAAGAGCGGAACTATCCAAAAGTAGGTCAGATAGAAAAAGCACTTTCAAATGTGTAAAACAATCCTATCATTTAAAGAAGTCCTGCAAATTTAATAAATACCTATTAAAAATAGAAAATGAGGTTAGATGTGCCCTTGAAAGAACTGTTGGTTTTTTTTTGGTTTGGGGTGGGTTTTTTTTTGTTGTTGTTGTTTTGTTTTTCATCTCTAAACTTCCCAAGATGCCACAAAAGGAAAAAAAAATAGGACACCAAAATTAATCCCAGAATATCAAGTGAAGGTTGAATTTTAAGTGAACTATTTACTGAGCCAATGGATTTGTCAGGAACTGGTTTAAGGCCCACGGACTACCTGGCAGGGCCTTTGTGAGACTAGGCTGAGATTGAAGAGCATGAGGCTCCAGCCCGATGCTAACACATAGCAGACACTCGTTACCGTTTCGTGAAATGGATGCCAGATAGCGCTAGA